TTGCACTGATTTGATCTTGACAAGTTACACGAATGTGTTAAATTATCACAGACACCTCAAAAACACGTACATCTATTAGGTGTCAATAAAATTTTTTAAATATAAATAAATGAATGGTGTGAGGCACCATACCTCACTACCACTAGGGCAAGGGGTGGGCAGAAGGGCCTGGAACACAGCCACAGGGCTCTGGATCTGCCCCTGCCAGAGGCAACTGGGCAGTGACCACTCCAGGCCACACATCCTCACTCGGCCCCAGTCCTGGTGAGTCACTCACACACGTGCCTGAGGTGGTTAACCCAAGAGTGCATAGCCACTATGCCTGGTGACAGCAAACACCAGAGTGGCAGGTGCTGGCGCAGCCCTGATCCGTGATTTGTGCTGGGAACATGCATGCAGCTGGACCTAGAGAGCCCCAGCCCTGGGTCCACCCTCACTGTGCATGGTACCAGAGGAGGGCCTGGCCAGGGTAACCCGGGAGCAGGGCCCAGCTGGTGTCAGCACCAGTCATTCCCGCCTGCTCTGTGCCCCTTGCAGGGTGGGGGATCTCACTGCTGTGAACACGGCCAAAGGCCCCTGAGCTCCACCTGAACGCTGGAGTGTTTGCAAGAACATGCTCCAATGTCCCTGTGTCACTGCCAGCTTGTGCAGATTAACAACCGAGCACAGGCTGTAGTAGGCTTCTGTGGGAAAGTAGGCTGTGTGGACCAGGAAACCTCTCATCCCAGAGCCCCAGCCAAGATGCCAGTGGAGGCATTGCCTCCAAGGTCCCCACAGAGGACATCGGGCAATGTCTGCACATAGTTTTGGTTGTCCCGACAGAGAGGGTGATACAGGACAGCCCCCCACAACAAAGAACTGCCCCACCTCAAATGTCAGTAGTGGGGAGGCTGAGAAACCCTGCTATGGGGCAGTGATCAGAGACCCTTGTGCCTTGAAAGGGGCTGGGCAGGACAGGTAGTGGCCCACCTGGGGCCACAGGTCAGAGCCGCGCCTGAGTCTGAGGCTGCCCACCCTCCCAGCTGCCAGCATGGGGTTGGGGCGTGTCCGCCCCCATCAGACTGAAGAGGAAACAGATACTCTATCACTCAGAAGCATCCCTGTGTCACCCTGTGAGGCTGGCCTTGGACCCGGGACTCTGGGCACCCAGTCAGCACCCCAGTGTGAACACATCCTGCCCTGGGGCCTGGTCCCAGCAGCTTACACAGACCAGGGCTCGCCCAAAGGCAGGCAGGCAGGGCCACTGCTGACCACGCACCTGCCTGGTCACGATTCTGGAACTAATGGTTTCTGCCTGGCAGGGAGGCCGCCAGGGCCTCTGGGCTTCACCCCTCCCCACCTTCACAGGGGACCTCGCTTCAGTGGGAATGTTCTGGAGCCATAACCCAAGGTTGGAATCCCAGCTCCTCCCCTTTCTAGGTCTGTGACCTTGGAAAAATTAAACTTTCTGTACCTCCGTTGCCTAATCTGCGAAATGGGGTAATATTACCTACTATATAGGGCTGTGAAGATTAAATGGAGTCATGCATTATCATCACAGGGCACCTGGCCCATCTTCACCCTCAGTTCATACTCCTCAAAGCCCTAAGGTTTCAGATCAATGGTCAGAACCACCAAGAGGGCCTGCTAAAGACAAGTATGTGGACCCACCCGCAAGGTTTAGGATTTAGAAGGTCAGGGTGGGGCTGGGGAACCCGCATTTCTAGCAGATCTCAGGGAAAGCAGTGCTGCTGGTCCTGGGACCACAGTTTGAAAACTACTGGTGTAAAAGCCTTCTAAAAAAAGTGGGATTTGATCACTAGTTATATGGAAAAAAACTGGAAAAAAGAGGAAAAAAAGAAAAGAAAGAAAATAAAAGAAAGGGAAGGAAGGGAAGGAAGGAAGGAATTTCAAAGAAACCTATCCCACCGGCTCTCCTGGATGGAGAGAGTGTGGGACTTTGAGAGAGACTCCCGGCTGGGCACCCCAGGAGGTTTTCTTCACCCGAGTTTTGCACCAAGCCCACCCAGGACAGTGGGCTGAGCCTGTGGCGGAGGCTGGCGGGAGGTCTGGTTGAGGCAGGGAGGGTTTCCCTGTGCGCGGACGCTGCAGGAGTCACACGTGTGACATCCAACCAGGGGCAGTGCCCGGAGCAGGCCAGGAAGAAGACTGGGCCGCTGAAAGCACACTGCGGCGGCGTGGGGAACGGCCTCAGACACCTAAGGGTAGGACCGGCCCGCTGCCCCGCGACCCCCAGCGCCTGGGTCCTTTCCCGGCCTCCCCCAGGCGTGGCCCCACCCCGCCCCAGGCCGCTCCTCCGACCCCTTGGGTTTACCTCATCTCCCGCGCGCCTTTCCCTCCCCGCGTCCCCCGAACCCCGACCCCCCGGCTCCTCCTCCCGCCCGGGCCCCCAGGGCCGGCGCCCGGCTCACCCGCCTCCCGCGCACCCCCTCCCGGGCGCCTTCTCCCGCGCGCCTCCCCAATCCCCCTTGGGCCCCAGCTGACCCCACCTTCCGCCCCAACCCCGCCCGGAACAGGGCTGCGCCTACCGCGTCCCATCCAGGCGGCGGCGGGAAAGAGGCGGGCCGAGGACGCAGGAAGCAGGAAGGCCGGGCGTCCCTGGCTCCGCCCCGGCCGGGCGGCAGGACCTTGGATGACCTGGTGCTCGGGGACTGCAGCAGACGCCCCAGCCCCGGCAGCGCGGAGCCCCGCCAGGGGCCCGGGGGGCTGGAAGTGGGGAACCGAAGCTCGCAAGCCCCGGCCCTCCTCGCAGCTGGGGCCCCACTAGCCGCCCCCGCGGGAGCGCTACAGGAGAGGCGCCTGTGCGCCTGCAGGTTTTATTATGGAGCTGTCAAGCTAGAAAGGGTACAGAGAACTGGAACCCACCCGACAGCCAGCTTCCCTTGGAGCCTGCCTTTTGCTTTAAAACAACAGCTGAGAGGTGACAGTGTGCTAACAACCCTCACTCTCAGCACCTCCTCGGCCTCGACGTCCACTCTGGCGGGGCTTGAGGAGCCCTTCAGCCCGCCACGGCACCGTAGGAGCCCCTCTCTGGGCTGGCTGAGGCCGGAGTGCCTCCCTCTGCTTGCGGGGAGGTGTGCAGGAAGAGACGCAGGCGGGAACCGGGGTTGCGCGCGGCGCTCGCGGGCCAGCGCGAGTTCCGGCGGGCGCGGGTTCGGCGGGCTCCGCACACGTAGCGGCCGGCCGGCGCCGCCGAGGGCAGTGAGGGGCTTTGTACCCGGGCCAGCAGCTCCGGAGGTTGCGCCGGCTCCCCCAGGAGTGCCGGCCCCTCCGCGCTGCACTCAAATTCTCGCCGGGTTTAGCTGCCTCCCCGCGGGGCAGGGCTCGGGACCTGCAGCCCGCCATGCCCGAAACCGCCCCCCGCGCAGTGAGCTCCACCGCTGCCCGAGCCGCCCCGGGGGTGCCGCCCGGTCCGGTCTACTGCTCAGGAGTTGAGGAGTGCGGGTGGACAGCTAGGTACTGATGGGCAGCTCCACCTGCAGCCCCGGTGTGAGATCCACTGGGTGAAGCCGGCTTGGCTTCTGAGTCTGGTGGGGACTTGGAGAACTTGTAAATCTAGCTGGAGGATTGTATGTGCACCAGTTAGCACCCTGCATCTAGCTAATCTGGTGGGGTCTTGAACTTTCATGTCTACCTAGAGGATCCTAAATACACCAGTCAGCACTCTGTGTCTAGCTCAGGGTTTGTAAATACACCAATCAGTACTCTGTGTCTAGCTCAAGGTTTGTAAATACACCAATCGGTACTCTGCATCTAGCTAACTCTGTGTCTAGCTAACCTAGTGAGGACTTGGAAAACTTTTCTAGCACTCTGTGTCTAGCTCAAGGATTGTAAACCCACCAATCAGTGCTCTGTCAAAATGGACCAATCAGCAGGATGTGGGTGGGGTCAGATAAGGGAATTAAAGCAGGCTGCCCCAGCCAACGGCAACCTACTCGGGCTCCCTTCCACACTGTGGGAGCTTTATTGTTTTGCTCTTTGCAATAAATTTTGTTGCTGCTTACTCTTTGAGTCCGTGCTGTCTTTATAAGTTGTAACACTCACTGTGAAGGTCTGCAGCTTCGCTTCTGAAGCCAGGGAGACCAGGAACACACTGGGAAGAAGGAACAAACTCTGGACACACCATCTTTAAGAACTGTTAACACTCACCGTGAGGATCCTGTAGCGTCATTCTTGAAGTCAGGGAGACCAAGAACCCACCAATTCCGGACACATAACAACAGCAAAAAGTCTGTGCTTCGTCCCAGACGTGCCTTTCGTTTTCCTTTTTTCCAGACTAATTTTAAAGCATCCCAGTAGATAAATTCTTTAAATACTGGAGTATGTTTAACAATAAGGCCTATTTTTTAAACATTCCCATAGTATTACCACCACACCTAACAAAATTGGCAATTCCCAGTCCGGGCCTGAGGGAGGCTTGATGGTTCACAAGACTTGGTAAACCAAAAAATAACTCTAAGGCACCCCCCGCCCCCAACCACCAAATCATCCGAATGGACTTCCTCCTCAGCCAGGGCTTTTAACCTGAAAGACTGGTTCAGGCCATAAGGGGAAGTAGAGGCCAAACATGCCTCATTATCCTTCTGCATTAACATCAACACAGACTTTACGTCTGATAAGAAACATTTTATAGTCTCCTCTCTGAAGCCTCCTACCATATCCAGATGCTTCATCTGCATGATAAAACATTAGTCTCCACAACCTCTTAACCAAGACATTCTTTAATTCCAGGTCTTTGGACAAACTCAACCAATTGTCAACCAGAAAATGTTTAAATTGACCTATAGCCTAGAACCACCCTCCCTCTCTTTGAGTTTTCCTGCCTTTCTGGATCAAACAAATTTATTTCTTAAATGAACTTGAAGTCTCATGCCTCCTTAAAATGTATTAAACCAAGCTGCACCCCGACCTCCTTGAGCACATGTTCTCAGGACCTCCTGAGGGCTGTGTCACTGGCTATGGTCACTCATATTTGGCTCACAATAAATCTCTTCAAATATTTTACAGAGTTTGACTCTTTTCATCAACAATAATTTGGCACCCAACGTGGGGCCTCAGAGAAGACTCAGGACCCCAAAGGAGTTGCCTGAACTCGGAGCTAAGATACCAGTGGGGCCCATTGAAGCCTCCCAGACTTCTAGCTTCTCCCCCACTGGAACTGGTAAGTCCTCCTGAGCCCCAGATCTCTCTTTGGTTGACAGTCCTTGGTTTAGTGTGAGCTGGTTTTTCTCCTAGGAAGTTGTTGTTTAAGGATTCTAATTCTAGTTCAGAGACACATTCTAAAGGGTTTTCTTTATTGCTTTTTCTCCCAAAATTAATCTTGATTTGGCTTGTCTGCGCATTTGTGTGACGAATTGAACTGTTGTTTTCATAGGTAAATGAGAGACTGAGTTTTCTAAGCTCGGAAGAGAAAAGGCATTTGCTCCTCCCAGTCAAAAGTTGCTCCTGGGTGACTGGGGCCTTGTGGGAGTGTCTGGGGGGTTGATAATCCTGTGATATGCAGCAGCCCTACGGGGAAATCCCCAACAAAAATTAATTTTAAAAATAGTTTGTCCAGGAATGCATATAAGGACTGATCACTCATCATTTTGAGCCCTCTCAAAGGTAATACACCTCTGGAGAGAGAAACTGAGACATGTAAAAGGGTGGAAACGACTCAGTGGTGACACACAGTGGAGTCCTACCCACAAGCAGCACACATTGATCCACCACACAAAAACCTTAGGCCACAGCTAAGTTCCTACTTTTAAGGAAAAAAAAAAAAAGTGGGAAACAAGTATTCTAAGAATGAGGAGAAAACAAGGAGAATGACCCCATTTTGGGCCCTCTGTTGGTTTTATGGTGCCTCTACTTGCCAGAGATTATGTAAAATGGAAATAAAATGATCCTTGTGCACCTTTACACTAAGGAAAAGAGCCCTAAGGTTGACCTGTACACCATAGAGTTCCTAAGTACTCTTCTCTATATTTTCTGCCTGCTTTAAATCTGCTTTTACTTTTCTGCTGAGATAAAAACCACTGTTTGGATCTAACGTTTTTTTCTTTTTTTCTTTTTTCTTTTTTTTTGCAAGCTGGTGAATTTGTGTTTATCTCATGGCTAAAGTTCTGGAGTAAAAGCTATAGGATGTGTGTGTGTGTGTGTGTGTGTATTTAAAAGGATTTTATAATAGACTTCTATAATTTTGTTTAATTGGCAGATTAAATCCATTTTAATTTCCCTCTAGCACACCAGACTGTCTCTTGGTACTTTGAGATGCAAATTTTGCTATCTGTTTTTCACCTAAGAGTTCTTTCCTTTAATATGTAAATGTGGGACTATTTAGCTGACAACTGCATAGGGTGATGAAACAGGCTATCATGAATTTAAAAGTCTCAGGAAAGCTGGATGTGGTGGCTCACGCCTGTAATCCCAGCACTTTAGGAGGCCAAGGCAGGCGGATCACAAGGTCAGGAGATGGAGATCATCCTGGCTAACACGGTGAAACCCCATCTCTACTAAAAATACAGAAAATTAGCCGGGCGAGGTGGCGGGCACCAGTAGTCCCAGCTACTTGGGAGGCTGAGCCAGGAGAATGGCATGAACCCAGGAGGCGGAGCTTGCAGTGAGCCGAGATTATGCCACTGCACTCCAGCCTGGGCGACAGACTGAGACTCTGTCTCAAAAGAAAAAGAAAAAAAAAAAAAAGTCTGAGGAAAAAAGAGGTCTTACAAATGTATAAGATGTACTTCTATTGCCATGCCTAATATTCTATGTGTTTATGTGTTGTGTACACAATTTTTCATTACTAAAAATATGTAAAAGAGCTCTACTTAGTTTAAGTAAAAACAAAAGCACTTAAACACTTTATCAAAAAATGCTAATCAAATGCTTTTAAGTTCACGTGACAAGTAAAATATTTAATAAATAAGCTGTCTTTAAAATCATTGGTAAAAAAATCAGAAATGTTCTAAGAATTGTTAGTATTTTTGTTTACATTTATTGATCAAGTGGCTTCATGCTTATTCCTTCAGAATAGTATAAGATTAGCCATAGGGTTATGAAACTGTAAAACCCAGCCCAAGACAGAATGATCTTTGCTTGTATAATTTTTGATAAATTAGGCATGGAATATTGTTGGTTTAATGGAAACAGCTAAATCTTGAGTTATTGGTAAAAATACTGTTATATTTAATCATAAGTTCATTATTGAAGTAAACACCTGAAATTCACAGCTATAAAAATGGTTAACAGGGAAATAACTTAAATAATGACTGTCACAGGTTTTGTTAATAATACAGGTAAACAAATAAATTAATCAGGTAATGGTAATGGAATAAGTGTTTGTAAACAAACTTGTCATATAATTTAGGACCTCAGGTTATTAATAAATGTTAAGTATCTGGGTAATTTCCAATTTAAAAATTACAGGAAAACTTCTTTTTAAACAGTAGATATCTTTTTCTAATTTAGCTTATTTAAAGGTTATGTATAAAACAAGGTCAAAGGAACTAGGAAATAAGAGATATAGAGAAAGATAAGACATAAAGAGGTAATTTTTAGTACAGAAGGCAAAAAGGAAAGTGATCTTATGTAAGAAAGAATCTTGTGTAGTGAATTTGTGTCCTAAAATAAAATGACTAAGTTGTTCAAGAAAGAGAGATATTTAGGACAGAACAGAAAATTGAAGCATGTTGTGAATGGTTTATGTAAGTTGTAAGAAGGTTAGTAAAAAGGGATTTGTTTAAAAAAACTGTGTAATTCAGTTGGCTATGATTAAGAAGAAATTATAGTAGTCCTTCTAGAGATGAGTCTTTGATATTTAAAAAATACACTAATACAAAACTAAATAATTGGCTAAAACAATATTTTATTACAAATATTGACTTCTTTTTAATGTTTTTAATTTATAAACTCTATATCTCTTTGACATTCTGCAGATTGATATCTCACAAGTTCAGCTCTTTCTCTTTTGAAAAGACCTTGGATAATAGATCTCTCTTTCACCTTTTGTTGGTTCCTGTAACTTCATAATAGTTACAGGATAATTAACACAATTATCTGAAGGGAGATAACTTTTTTTGAAAATAGGCCAATAAAATTAGATCTTGTAGACCTTTTAATTCTGCATGCCTGTTATATCTTTATCTTTATATGTGTCATGTGGAAGTGATATTTCACTACCAAACTACATGAAAGAGCTCTAACCTAGTAACTTTAAAAATGTAAGTGCTTATCAGATTGGTAGATGCTAGCTCAGATGACTGTTAATTCACATGATCTTGGTAATCTTTAGTAAAATTAATTTAGCAAATTTAATCTCAAAACTCTAGTAATTTAAAATCTTAAAGTCATGTTAAAACCTCAGTTTTTATCACTGGAAAATTTGAGTTACTAAAAGTTAAAATAGGAGTATAAAATACGTTTTTGGTGAAGTTTGTAAAACACAATGATGTTGATTTTGCTAAAAAAGGAAAGTAGGTTTTTCTTCTCTAATTAAAAAAACTACTTAAGAATTGCTTTAGAATGAAGAAAAATATATATACAGATAAAGCTAAATAGAACAATTAAGCCAGAGCAACAAAAGTTAACTCAGACCTGTGTGTGGGTACAAAAAGATAGTCAGTGTGGGGGAAGGGCAAAACTATTTAAAACCAGAGGGTATAATATAAAGAAATTGTTTTATTTTGTAGATTTGTATCATTAGCTTCTTAAAAAAACTTTACTATAGTGGATTGTAAAAATAACCACTTTAAGGAAAAAATCCTTAATTTTAAATGCTACAGAAATTAAGAGCTTGTTTGGGTTGATGCAGCACCCCACAGCTCACTATTGAACAATCACTAATGAATATATATGATCCAAATGCACAAGAGGTCATTTCTGAGAGAACAATTAGTCTAGTGGACCAGATAAATGCCACCATAATGTCTGTTTGCCCTGAGAAGGGGACTGCCCAACTCTGTATAAAATACCAAGTGAAACAAGCACCTCAGATGAAGCAGTTAATATGCTTCATATGCAAGCCATATAACTGGAGTTAGGATAACTGGTATATCCTCCCACCAAATATGCCTATTACCCAAGTCATGGTAAATTTAGGGGTTGAGGGGGTCCCTTTTACATGGATGCCCCTCCCACAGAATCATAACGACTGCTTGAGAAGCCTTATCAAATTTGCCATCCCTCATGAGTTTTGCAGATGCAACTTGCCGCTAGGAACCCAAACCGTTTTTCACCAGAAAAGGTAAAATGGTCTGGGGGTAGAAAAAGGTTCCTGGGACCAGGACAGGTTAAACGTACAGGTTAATAAAATAAACGTATAGGTTAATAAAATAATGAAATGTAAAATGTTTAAACAAACTTTATGTAAGGTAGTTGTAACACCTTTTACCTAAATGTCTTATGAAAATCGGTACTGCATTTGACTGGGGGATGTTTCCCCTTTCTAGTACTATAAAACTAAGGGCATGTAAATCTGCTCTTTTGAGAAATTGGACACACTAAATGGGAACTGGTAAGGTTGCCTAAACCCACATGCTATAGGGTAGAAGCTATTCTCCACTTCATATCCTTTGTGGAACATTTACTGGGGCTGATGGCAAAAGGCTGAGTTCTTCCCAATGACAATGACTAAACTAGAGAATTTCTAGTTGAGGGCCATTTACTGTCTTAATCTGGAATGTTAATTGAAGCTATCCCTATGTTAATGGAAACAATGTGATGCCCAAAAGAGTTCCATAATAAAATAAAAATGGTTTACATAGAATCTTGCTACCTGGAAATATAAGGAGGAGATACTGATAAACAGGGAGCCCTTTCCTAGGACTAATTCTAACTCTAGGGGGAGTTGCTGGATTCCACAGTGCCTGATAGACAGCTGTCATGAGCTGCTTGGCTTGTGAATGGTATTTCCAAGGTAAACAGACGTCTCATTTGAAAGATGCTGCTCTAGTTAAAGAAGGTCAAGAAAAATTTTTTTTTTTTATTTGAGTGAAGTATGTTTTTAAACAAATGTACCTTTCTCTCTGGGTTCTCCAAAATCCAGATTGTTGTTTTATGACAATATAGTTATTTGTGTAAGTTCAATAAAAAGTATTTTAAAACAGAACAATTGGAGACACTGGTTAATTTACCAAGAATTTAACTAAAATAGTATATTTTTAGGTAAAGTTTCAGCAAAGC